GCATAAAGATTGAGAAGGCAGAAATGAAAATTCCCCTATTAGTAGATGACATGATGATTCACATGGAAAATATCAAGAGATTTACTCCCCAAAATTCTAGAACTAGTAAGTGAGCTCAGAAAGGTCACAGTATACAATTCATTCCAAAAAGATCTACATACACAAATGAATCATATTTCTACATACTATTAATAATTATGAACATATGACATCTGAAATTAAAAACACAATACCATTCACTTCAAAGAAAATAAAATATTTAATTATAAAACTAACAAAACTTGTCCAGGATCTGTATGGTGAAAACTATAATATGTTGATGAAGGAAACCAAAAGAGGACCTAAATAAGCAAAGAGACATACCATGTCCATGGAATGGAAGACTCAGCATAGTAAAAATGTCACTTCTCCCTACCTTGATTTATAGATTTAATGCGATTCCTGTCACAATCAGAGCAAGTTTTTTTCACAGATACAGACAAGCTCATCCTAAAGTTTATTTGTAAATACAGGCTTACAAAAGCAAAGACATCTTTGGCCAAGAGTTAAGTGAGAGAACTCACTCTATCTCCCTCTGACTCACAGACGCATTTATCTTTTCTCCACTAAAGCCATTTAGTGACTGATTGCACCTGGGTCAGCTGCCTCACAAGCTGATATGTATTTGCCTCAAGACTTACCCTCCAATATATTCCTCATTTTCTCCAGGGCTCTTACAAGATATCAACTTATCCTAGTTAGAGAAGTAGAAAGTCTAATTCAAGATAAATTAACCTGTCTATTGAAAAAGTTACAGAATTCACCACTCTGTTCAGGGAGCACCTAAGGAATTGAAGTCTAGGGATGTTACATCATGTTACATCATTCTCCATGATGTCACATCATGGAGAATGAAATACAAGGCTTGAATGTGCCAAATTCATAGATGGGTGCACTTACCTGGAATTTGAGATTTAATATGTTTGCTTGAGTACTTGGAAGAGGTGCTATGAATATGCACAGTTGGTTAACACTTGAATATATAAAAAAGAGTCCAAAGGCTCAGGCTGATTTTGAGCAACATACTCAGCCATTCCCTAGCATTAACTGCAAGAGAATCCAGTGGAAAATTTCCTCATCAAGGCATTAACACATGTATTGTTGTGAGGTGGGCAGCATGAGTGTCTCCATGATGTCTGTGCTTCAGAGACTGTTGATGACAGTAGGAGAGGCAGGTATAGAATAAAGTTCTCTTTTCTCAATGGGAATAATGGCATCCCAAGGTGGTAGAGGCCACGGATGTGCTTTCCTGTCATAGGCAAGGTGGACACAATTACCAGCTAAGCTTCAGAGAGCTATGCCCCAAGGCGAATGGATCACAGAATCCACAGCAATGGATAAGGGCAGCTTGACATATGAAGCTGGAAAGAATTGGGGTGTGGTAAGAGGAAACTTAAGTCACCATAGAAGGATTAATGACCTAAATGTGCTCCTGGCCTCGGAGGTCCCTGATGGAAGGGAGGCCGAGTGCCGTGGATGTATTTTGTGCTCTTCCCACACACCTTCCCCAGAGGAATCTGCGGCCACTTACCAAGCAACTTTCACATTCATGAAAGGAAATACCTAGATGGCCCAGGTGTTAATAGATACTGGTTCCAATTTTTTCCTGATCCTCAGAGACTTAAAATGTCCTCTGGTCCATGAGATAGAATAGAGGCTTATAGAGGTTGAGTGGCAGGTGCATTTTCAGGCTAAATCCACACAACTGGTTCTGGGAACAGCATGCCCATTCTGTGGTCATTCCCCAGCTCCAGAGCGAATGCTAAGAGAGATGCCAAATCACTGTCAGAATTCCCAAGTTTGTTGCCTATGACAGTAGAAAGTTGCCCCGTCCCACATCAAGAGAGTAACAGTAAAGAAATATGATATTCTGATGGACATTTTAGAGATTAGTGACTTAAAATTACCCTGCAAAGTGAGAGACAAATGGCATGAATCACCAAAAAAATAATGATAATAATACAATTATTGGCCCTCTTTTGATTTTATAGGAAAAATAAAATATATTGGATTAGCTGCTCTGAGCTATTAGCAGGTAACCTCATGAAGCCATGAAATGTGAGGGGACTACAGTGAGCAAAGGCAGCTCAGCAGGCCCAGGTGGCCACACGAGCTGCTCTGCCACTTGGGCCTTATGGAACAGCACGTCTGGAGGCGTCCCCAGTGTTGTGGCAGACACAGACACCAAAGGGAGATGTTGGCAAGCCCTGACAGGAGAACCATGCTACAGACCTCAGGAGCTGGATGAAGTCCCTGCCCTCCTGTCCTGACTACCGTACTGGTCTCCACTTTAAAAGCAGCTTCTTGGCTACCACTGGGCCCTGGTACAGAATGAAGAACTATGGTGGGAAACAGTTACCAAGTAACTTGAGCTGTGCACCGTAAACCAAGTGCTGTCTGATCCGCTGAACGTGCAGGCTGGATGTGCACACTGCTCGGTTATTAAGTACTTCGCATTTATGAGACTGGGCTGCACAGGTGTACAAAGCACACATAAGTTGCAGGAGGCAGAGGCTCAGATTCCCATGGAGTCTGTGTGGCCAGGTGCCAAAGGCAATGAAGCACAACCAGCAACGCCTCATGACTTTTTTAGCTCAGGGAAAACAGAATCCTCATCTGGAGCAGAAGGGCAAACACACCCTTCAGAATCTGGATTTTCATGGTGTATTTAGACTATAAAAGTGTGTCCTCACAGCCATGTGACCTTTAGGAGTTTAGGCATGAGGTGCTGGGGGAACTTTAGCTGGATATACCAGTGCAACACTCATAGCAAGCCACGCTTTGTTCCCTCAATGTCTTTTTCTATCACTGTGAAACAGGATTTAATAAGCATCGGGTTGTTCACCTACAAATGCTGGAGACAGTGTCAGGAGGGAGTGTGGACAAGCTTGCATTGCCTCTTCATGGTAGCAAAGCTGATGGCACTTTTGATGTCTCCTTCATGCAGAAGTGGACTTGTCACCTGCTGAGCAGCAAAACTGGTGGATGGAACTGAGTATCTTCTATCTGCTCCTCCTGGTCCACTCCCATCCTCCTCTCCCTGCTCTCTGTGCAAACACGCCAACCTGTGTGGACAGCTGCAACAGTTGCTCTCACCCTCTGGCTCTGGCTGCTTCCGCCCATGGGAAGGACAGGAGGAAACCACGGGGAGGAGAAACTTAAACATAAGATGATTCAGTCCCTCCATTCGCTCCTGCAAAGTGATACACAACCCTCAGGAGACGCCCACGGCTCTCTGCATCTCCAGGCCGTGGCAATGCCCCTTCCCTCATCCTTGGGGGCCAGAGGTGCCTCCTCCAACCATCCCTAAAGGACTATACTGCCCCTGGCTAAAGTCACTTCCAGCTACCCAATCGGAGCAGCTGCTGGTTTCCAGCCAGGCAGTGTGGGGGCTGCCTGATGCTCGGAGTCTTTATTTTAAAGTAAAACCAGCTGTCGCCATGGAATGATTTACCTCAGCAACATTCAGGGACAGAAAAGGTAGCACTGTGCCACTCTGTTGGTAGAGTTTTAAATTTAAGAACAGGAATAGAAAATGAAGCTAGGAGGGAACTGACGTGAGAAGTTGGCAGAAGGGAAGGGCCCATGAATCGGAGGTTTCAGTGGGAGGAAGAGTTATCTTGGACGTAACCTGGAGTAAATGACTGGACGTGTAGGAGCACCAGAAACGGCTAAGATGAAGAGCTCGAAGGGCAGTTCCTGGGGACCGAGTGCGGCATGGCCTGGAGGTGGAGCACAGGCAGGCGGCTGGGCCAAAGAAATCAGAGCACATGAAGCCTGAACTTGAACATCAGGGAAGGCTGGGGGGAGTGAGGAAGAGGGAGGAATGGCCCAGGGCTGGAGGGTTTCAAGACTGAGAAGGAATGACTGTGGAGCTGAGGGAGGTGCCAGCAAGGGGAGGCTGCAGGCGGGGGACATGGAGCTCAAGTGAACCAGAGGGACAAGTTAGAAGGAGGAAGGGTGGATTTGAGCTGAGCTGGACACAGCACCTGGGCACAAGGAAGACACCAAGGCCACCTACAGGCATCGCAACGTGGGTAGGAGAGGATACCATGCCTTTTAGTGAAAGGGCTCAGGGGACATCTGGGTTTCAGTGTGGCCAAGTAGACAGAGGCCAAGCAGGAATGGCTGGAAGGCTCCTTCCCTGTGCAGCCTGGGCCACAGGCTCCTCCTGAGTGTCCAGTACATGCAGAGGCACCCGTGTGACATTGTCCAAGACCAGAATTTAAAATAAAAACAGGGTTGCATGTCAGCTTTGCTGTTAAGGAATCCAAAGGGCTTATTCTTATAAACTCTCCCAACCTTTCAGGAAGGGAGCAGATTGCAGTTTCACAAATTCAGACTCTAAAAGCAGAAAGGGCACACCCACCCTGAGGGTGCAGGTGACAGAAATGGGAGCAGAAAGTCTCCTGATGTCTTACTGCCCTGAGCATCTTAAATCTTTTTAAGTCAGATGCTTTATATGATTCCTTTTGAGCAGAGTCCCTGGTAAACATGTCCATCTCAAGGTATCACACACAGAAGACCGAGAACGGAAGAAGATGTTCCCAGGGCACCAGCAGGCACTGAGGAAGCACAGGGCGCTCGCTCTCTGTTCATGACTCCTGCCCCACATGGGGTGCTCCACAGAAGAACTGCAATTAATATAACATCGACCAGAGTCCCGCCAGGAAAGCAGAGCTGAGGGTATTGACTAACTTTTGTGTAACTGATGGAAATAGCACGCACCACTCGCAGAACAGAAAAGCATTATTTTAGGCTGTTAAATATGTAAAATATTTAAAAGGCACCTAGGTTCTTTCTGCAAGTCAAATTTCTGGACTTCTAATTAATAACTTCAAAACTCCAGACAAAAATATAAATGGATAAGATGCAATTTTACATAGTGTAAACTATTGAACATCTAAGAAACTAATAAATTCCAAAACCTTTTGTCAAGGAACAGTTTGATTTTTTAATATATAAAATGTTTCCTTACAAGCAGTGTACCTTTTCCCAGAAGGAGTCTATATTTAGAGGGCATACAATTTGAATGCTGATTGTTTTAATATGAAAAGTGATTACATGAAGAAAAACTGTATATAGCCATAGAAGAAGTGACAATTAAGCAGCACAAGCAATTATGGGCGGATTTGTGTCTTTTCCTACATAGAAGAGCAAGAAGTGTTTTGAAATATAGCGATTTTTCTGCAGGGGAATTCTGAGTAAGTTATCTTGTATTTCCTGTGTCTCATCCTCAGGGAGAAAGGACACGCAGCAGAGGCCGTATCTCCCAGCACCCGCAGGAGCAGGAGTATGAGCGCCGAAGTTCTCTTCCAGTGCGTCTCCACTCCGTGGCCTCCCCAGGGTAAGCACCATTTTTTCTCCAAAGAGTGGCGTCAAGGTAGTTTTCTGACTGACGTTTGTGATGGATCAAGTTTCCCTTAATCTTCATGTGGAGGATGGATGTCTGTTAGTTCCATCCCACCACAACATGAGCAACAAGGAGATAGCACATCCCGATGGTGCAGGACACGACCATCATTGGGAAGCCCAATCTGAAACACAAAGAGAGACAGGTCATGACAGCCAGTGTCTGCTGAGTACTATGAGGAATGGACTTGTTACCATAACATGATATTCTAAAAGAATATGGCCTTAGGATCTTTATATATTCACAAAGTTCATTATCTTTTGTTTCTGGAGATCAAAAAGTTAGTTTTAGGCTAGATTATGTGGATGCATGCTTCTGTTGGGTGCAATTTCTAATGGATGTTTGGAGCCTCAGTTTGTTCATTAACAACATGAGAGGCTGGTCCTTCACTCACACTGCCCATGTTATGTACTAGGCCACTATTTACGTCTCTGTGTGTTTCCCCAACTGTGTCATCTTCTAATAATCCTTTCTGCAGATTTCCCGAGGAGGCCATATTCCCATAGACTCCTAAAGTCACTCGTACTCAAAGCCAAGGGGAGCTTCAGAAGTAGGGTTAGAAAATGGGGCCATCTCTTGTTAAAGAAGGTAAGAAGGAAGAATAGGATTTTCTTCTGCATTGGTGAGGTGTGACATGTATGGACAGGTACGCACAAATACAAACATGGCCCTAGGAGGGTGAAAGCTTCTCTCATTGCATGGCTCCATCAACGTGCCCGTGTTTCCATGAATTCTTACCGTAACTTAACAAATGTTGATAGATTCCCACTGGGCATTTGGAAGCCATGCTCTGTAGCTGTTGTTTAGTTCAGCTTTGTCACTAAGAAAGGTCCCTGCAAAGGTTACAGTTTTGGTTTCAAAAGGTTTCTAGAGGCCGGGCGCTGTGGCTCACGCCTGTAATCCTAGCTCTTGGGAGGCCGAGGCGGGCGGATTGCTCAAGGTCAGGAGTTCAAAACCAGCCTGAGCAAGAGCGAGACCCCGTCTCTACTATAAATAGAAAGAAATTAATTGGCCAACTGATATATATATAAAAAAATTAGCCGGGCATGGTGGCGCATGCCTGTAGTCCCAGCTACTCGGGAGGCTGAGGCAGAAGGATCACTCGAGCCCAGGAGTTTGAGGTTGCTGTGAGCTAGGCTGACGCCACGGCACTCACTCTAGCCTGGACAACAAAGCGAGACTCTGTCTCAAAAAAAAAAAAAAAAAAAAGGTTTCTAGAAATTCAGCAGCAAGAGCCCAGTGTGGATAATTATAATTTTAAAAATTATGGCTTTCTTCCTGCCCTGGCTGTGCACATGGGAAGAAGCTCCTCGGAAACAGCCACAGCAAGCTTCTCCCTACAAAGCTGTGGTTTAACACAGGAGCTGCATCCGTGAGTGAAACAGCTCTTTAAATTCTAGAGCAGACTTGGGCATTTCCAGAAGGTAGTATGATTCTCTTAGTTCCTCTTCTGAACACATTTTATTTTACCAAACACACACACACACACACATACAACAGATTTCAGAAAAACAATTTCAATTTCTTAAGATTTATCAACTGTAGTTTTGAAAACAGCTAAACATGTTTGTAAAATGTCAGCCTTGATTGTTGAATTCTGGAAAAACACAACCCACAACAGTGTCTGATCAACTCCAGGCATCACAAACATCATCACAAGGCTTCATAGAAACACAAGCCTTCGTTCCATCATGACAGATTGTGTAAAATGAGTTCATCTCAGGTAAGATGCTGAATAGCTCAACCTGGGCTCTGAGACATGTGTTCATGTTCCAGAAGCAAATCTGCCTTGACAAGGTATGGACCTTGCTCTTGAGGAGCCCACGCCTGGAAGAGCTTCCTTGTGGATGGTTCTGCTGTGCTCCCAAGTGAGAGCCACAGTTGTTCTCAGGTAGGCCACCAGCCTGAGAAGGTGCATCACCCAGGGATTGATGCAAACATTCAGACTTTATCAGAAACATTGTTCCCTCACAATGTCTAGCCAATGTGATATCTCCGTGCACATGAGGATTGCATGAGTTCGCATGTGTAAATTCCTTTGAACAGTGTCTGGCCACACAATGGGCTCTGAACAAATGCTAGCCACATGCCAGTGTTCCTCAAACAGAGTAAGCATGGAGTGCCTTCTAGGGCACAAGTTGTGTTGGCAGTAAGGAATTTAACACACACATACTTGAGGGTTTATTGGAGAAGAGAACGTAATTGTTTACTCTCAAATTAAAAACTATAGAACAGCCTTCTAGTTCTCAAAGCAAGGTGAAATAGATGCATTTCTTCTTATCCTTCCCACTAAATACAGCTAAAATGCCTGGGCATTATACATAAAACAAACATAAGAAGATGAAGAGCAGACAGCAGATCAGCTGAGGACTTTGGCATCCTGAAAATAACATGGCAGTGAGTTTCCTTTTTGTTTCCCCTCATATATCCCAGACTAGGTGCTGGGAAGCTGAAAAGTGGGAAACATCAATGGATGGTAGACAGATAAACAAAGCAAAACATAACAGCCCCAAGAGAAGCCTGCTCTTTCCAGCCAAAGGACCAGACAGAAAAGGGAAGCATAGCTAGACAGAAACTTCTAGATAATAACCACCCTGCTCCTGACAAATACCACAGGAAAACTTTTTAAAAGTTGCAAAGGCCCTTTGGCAAAGGCCCAGTGGGGAGCCAGCTCTAACCACCTGCTCTAACCAGCCATCTCTCCTGTAGTATCAGTGAGGACCATGTAGGCGTACTGGACTTTCACCCCCATCAGGAGGCAGAGAGGTCCTCTTTCCATGGGTTGGGGTGGTTTCAGGGGAAACCTAGTAGGAAGCCAAGACTTTCACCACCTTCCAGTAGCAATAAGGCCTCACCCCTCACCAAGTCGGCAAGTCAGCAGAGGTCACATGGGGAGAAAAATGATCCTACCCTCCACACAGTAGTAACAAGAGAAACCTATCAAGCAACTATGTCCCCCACCCCCACTGAATGTCAACAGAGTCTTGTAACACAACACGGAAGATGTACAGGATGTAACAGAAAATCACTCGTCACCCTAAGAAACAGAAATGTTTCAAGTTGAATGGGAAAATACAATCAACAGACGCCAACAATGAGGTGATACAGGTGTTGAAGTTATTTGACAAGGAATTCAAAGCAGACATCATAACAATTATTCAATAAACAATTACAAACACACTTGAAACAAATGAAAATATAGAAAGTCTAAGAAAAGAATAGATGATATAAAAGAGAACCAAATGGAAATTTTTAGAACTTAAAATGAAACAACTGAAATAAAAATCTATCTGGATGGACACAGTAAGATAATGGAAAGTATGAAGGCAAGAAATAGTGCACTTGAAGATACAATGGTAGAAATTACCTTTCTCAACAACAGAGAAAAGACAGACTCAAAAACAAAAAGAACAAACCCTGAGGGACCTGTGGGACATAGATAAAAGATCTAATATTTGTATCACTGGAGCCCTAGAATGAAAGGAAAAAGATGGTAGGAAAGAAAAAGTATTTGAATAAATAATGGCTGAAAAATTGGTAAAAAATATTAACCTACAGATTTAAAAGTTGAGCAAACCTAAAAAGGATAGACCCACCCTGAAACCAAAGCTATATCAAGGCACAACATAATCAAATTCCTCAGAACTAAAGAAAAAGAAAATTTCTTGAAAGCTATGAGAGTTAAATGACAATTTATCTATAGGTAAAAACAGCAATATTCTCCTCAAAAAACATGGAGGCCAGGAGGAGATGGCATAATATTTTTTAATTGTGGAAAGATGAGAGTAATCAACCCAGATTTCTATATCTATCAAAAATATCCCTCAGGAATAAAGGGGGAATCAAGACATTCTCAGATGAAGATAAACTAGAACAGACTTCCCCTAAAAGAACTGCCAAAAGAGGTCTTCAAACAGAAACGAAATCATGAAAGAAGGAATCTTGGAGTATCAGGAAGCAAGAACAAAATAAAAAGCAGCCATATGGTAGAATACGATAAGCTTTTTTTCTCTTTTTGAGTTTTTAAATTGTTTTATGGTTGAAGCAAAAATTATAACAATGTCTGATGTGCTTCTCAAAGAATGTAGAGGAGTATTTAAGACAATTATATTGTAAATAGGTAAGTGTAAAGGAACTTAAAAGGAAGCAAGTTTCCACACTCCCCTTGAACTGGCAAAATGTCAGTAGATTGTGCTTGTACCGTATTTCCCCAAAAATAAGACCTACCCGTAAAATAAGCCCTAGTAGGATTTCTAAGCATTTGCACAATATAAGCCCTACCCCAAAAATAAGACCTAGTGATGGGCGTGGCTACGCAACATATCGGCACAACCCATGAGTTTCGTGGTGAAATGGTAAAGAAGATCGGCAGTCCTTCTCATCTGTCCCATGAGAGCTCTACTGCTTGACATGAGAGATTGGGGCCAATGGTTCTAAAGGAAATAGAGTCGCAAGAAATTCAGGATGGAATTCAGGGTTTGTAGAGTTATGATGATGTTCCATAGGAAGATGACTTGACTATATTTGAATAAACGTAGATTGTTGTACCATACTTAAAAAAAATAACACATCCCCTGAAAATAAGCCCTAGGGTGTCTTCTTGAGGAAAAATAAATATAAGACCCTGTCTTATTTTTGGGGAAACATGGTATGTATAATATAATACCTAGAGCAACCACTAAAAAGTCAATACAAAGAGGTGCATTTAATCTAGACCCACCAAAACGGAACTCTAAGGAGTGATCAAGTAACCCACAGGAAGGCAGGAAAAAGAAATAAAGGAACTAAAAAGAGAGGTAGTCAACAGAAAATGAAAATAAAATAGCAGATATAAACTTTAATATATCAATAATTATATTAATATTAAATATAAAAGGTCTAGATATGCCAATTAAAAACAGAGATTACAGAGTTGATTTAAGAAAAACCATGATCCAACTGTGTCATATCTATAAGAAATTCACTTCTACTATAATGACATAGATTGATTGAAAATTTAAAAAGAGATAAATGTAAGCCACAGAAATAGTAATCAAAAGAGCAGGGGTGGCTATATTGATATCACATTAAGTATATTTCGGAGCAAAGAAAATGTCCAGGGTAGACAGGGACATTGTATATTGA